AGTATTCTATTGGAATCGAAACGAAGGTCGATCCTTCTACATGGTCGAGAGAAAAATCTGAAGCATGACATACAAGAAAGTGAATGGTCAACAAAAATTTAGAAGCAAGACATAGTAAAAAAAGCACACGTTACCCATATTATACCAATTTAAACAGTTGTAACTTTAAATGCAGAACTAGTAAATATACAAGTTCTATATTAAATAAAAAATCAGAAGCACAGTTTAACTCTCAAAGTGATAATATAGAACAAAGCACACTTAAACTTGGGGCTTGAATATTGGGAAGTTCTTGAGCAAAAGAATGCTAGTGAATGACAAGGTTGGAATGTTATTTTCAGAAGTTATGAGAAACATAATTTTTTAAGCAAAAAAATGCTAGAGAACAACAAGGTTGAAATGAACAGAAATTGGTAGCTCCTGATCTACTGAACGGAATTCAAGGTACAAGGGGTATCAGTTTTATCTAAAACCTAAGTCCATGGCTTTGAAAAGAATACATTAATATGTTAGTTTTCTTCAAAATTTCAGTCTATCTGCCCCCCCCACCACCACACACACACACACAAAAATGAGAAAGAAATATCCTGGCTGGCTCTCTGTAGAAGATAAAACACGGAAAATATCAATGTATGACCAGTATGTGTGGTTAAAAGATTGTCGAATGTTTGAACAAAGATAGTAAAGATAACATCTTGCTTTATGTCACTATTGAAAATTCCATAAAATATTTTGGTTTTCTTTTCATTTGTATGTTAAGTAAAGACCAAACTTTGTTCCTGTCAAACAGAAAATAAAGAGCAAAATCTAGTCCATTTTTGCACAACAAATATAATTGGACAGAAAGAACAAAAAATCAAAAGCATGTCGAGGCAGCAGGAAGAAATAGTATGAGAAATAAAAACAGTGAATGTTCAATATGTCTATCAAAATAATGAAGAAAAATATTTACCTTCATTTGTACTATAAATCTTCAATATCACTTTCTATACTATCCGCAACCCTAGGGTATTTTCATTCTGGACCTGGTTGAAAGAAAAAAAAAACTTCTGAATACTCAGTTCTCATTCTCTCTCTCTCTCTCTCTCTCTCTCTCTCTCTCTCTCTCTCTCTCTCTCTCTCTCTCGTCTATTGGACCATAGCTAATTCTTTGTTTCTCTAGGTTCACATCTTTTTCTTTTTCTAGGCAGCCATCATTGGAAGCAACATCTGTGCTGCAGCTATATATATTAAAATCTTTGCCCTCTTGTCCATCTAAATAAAAAAATTACTAAGTTAGAAGTCATTTATCTCAATGACTCGTAATAAGCATAGATGGCAGTCACTGCAATGCAACATACAGATCATGTATATGTTCACAAAGAGAAAAAAAATCAACTAATCATGTGCATGTGTTAGTTCTGAGGTAAAAAAAATACAAGTACGACATGGTTGATCTGTTCATCACCAGTGAAGGAGGATTTAGAGGAGAGTGTCGATCTAATTTTATCAGATGAGAAGGGAGTGAAGGAGGGTGCCATCTTGGAGGAGGGTATGATGAAGGTACTCTGTCTTCTTACCTGGAGAAGGAGGGGACGTCCTTTCTCCCGCTTGGCTAGACGGCCGGCGACAATGGAGGGCCGTCGCCTCTTGCTCGTGTGTCGCAGACCCGGCCGTTGCACGAGTTGGATGCGCCCCAAGGGCAGGCCGTATCGGGAGACGAAGGCGCCCTAAGGGCCGACGGCGTAGGGATGAGAGGCCTGGCAGATGGAAGTGGCAGTGGGAGGAGGTCGTCGTCACCGGCGTTTGACCCATCAGCAGCGCGACGTCGTCACCCTGTGTGCAGCACGCCCGATCAGCGACTCCCATGCGCGGGCGAGCCAAGGAAGAGGCGACACCACGGATCGCATGCGTGATATGCAGCATTTGAGTTTAGGAAGACAATTTTACATCATGAATCATATACTATTTCTAAATTATCCTAACTACATTTATATATTCTTTCCCTATGGTACATTTGCATTAGAAATCCTTTCTTAGTCTTTATTTTTTCCCCACCCTTCCACCTGCCGGCGCACGGAGTCGCGGTATCGCACGGGGAGAGGTAGAGCGATGACCCCAATAATTGTCGTACGATTCAGTTATCTTAATTTTGTTCTTTTTAATTGTAGGAGATTTTGAGACTGAGGCGGTGACCAAACGGGGCTTAACAACCTTACCAGACAAAAAAGGCCCTGGTAGGTGTTAGGGGGGCGTGCGACGCGGTTGGTGACGTCTGATTGTGAATGGCTCAAAAGCCATATCCCATTTGGTCCCTGGTGTACATCTATCTGCCCTGCATGCGACAAGGGACTAGAAGCCAATAACCATCTCATGTACTACTCACGAAAAATAAACTACTCCGTACTCACATGTAGCATTCGACAAACATAATATATAGAAAAAATGAGTTCTGTAGCACTAAAAGGTTACGCCATTCATAAAATACTATTAAAAGATTTTGTCCCCCGTAAAACATCACCGTTAACTAAAACTAGCATTCTGTTAGTTTTTTTTATTTACAAAAACGTTAACCTAACTAAAACCCAAACCGGAAATGACCTACTTGCCCTTGCCTTATCCTGTCAGTCAGCCATACGCGACATGGGAAATAGTATGCCCAGAGAGACGCACACACGCAGCCGCGGGGAGCTGCAGGCGCGCTCGCCTCCGCCGGTCGCCGCGCGCCGCTGCAGGCCGCCTCCGCCGGCCGTCGCACGTCCTTGCACGCCACCTCCACCGGCCGTCGCGCAGCCCTGTGCGCCGCCTCCACTGGCCGCCGCATGGCTTGCGCGCCGCCTTCGCCGGCCGCCGCGTGCTCGTGGGCGCTGCCTCAGACTACCGCCACCTCCGCCGGCAGCCGCGCGCTCGTGCGACAGGGACTGGGAGCGCTCTCCTTCCACGTGCTGGTCCATCGGAGTCACCCTCGCCTCGCCCGCGTGCAGGCCTCCAAATCCGTCGTCGCCTCCCACGTGCGCGGGCCACTGGAGCAGCGCTCGTGCAAAGGCAGCCAGACTGCCACAGCCAGTAGAGCCTCCCACGCGTGCCGGCCGCAGGAGCCAAAATTGCGCGGTGGTCGCTGGAGACGCCGCGGCCTTGTTTGCGTGCGCGCCGCCTCAGACTACCGCCGCTGCCGGATGGCCTGGGCGCCGCCTCCGCCTCCACTGGCCGCACCGGGTAATGTCTAGGGGTATTTTGGTTGAAGATAACAGCTCCATTACCCTATTCTAACAGGATGGTATTTTCGGTTCATGATCTAACCTTTTGATGGTATTTTGCGGTGGCGCAATCTTTCGGGGTTATTTTACGGACAGCGATCTTTCAGCGCTATAGAACCAATTTTCTAAAAAATATATATTTATATAGAAACCCGCACGAATTGAGCAGAAAATGGTTCAAACGTGTAAAGATAGACACAACGAGTCTGTTTGCTGGTTGGTTTCTGGACTGATAAGCCCGACTGATGCTGGTTTATTGTGAGAGAAAAACATTATTAGCTGACTGATAAGCTCTTGCTAAAACCAACAGACGAACAAGCTAGATAACTGTAGCAATATAAAAATAATACTGTCCAGACGGGTGCCACACTGACTCACCATAGCAAAACTCTACCCATCTGATTTTATGTTGATCACTCCGAGTCTATTTACATATAAAGGTTAATTATTAGCTAGCCGAAAATTAACTAAAATTAGCTGTAACGCGTGTAAATGTCCGTTTTCATCCCTACTAATTGTTTAACTAAACATTTAACTAATCGTTAGCTAATTAACTAGTTAACTCTAACTAATTTAACTTAATTTTTAGACCCCAACCGTAATCTATAGGATCCCAACAGGCCAGATATTGTGCCCAAATATCTATAGGATCTTATCCACTTAATGTTTAGCTCATTTGTGCCCAAATATTCTCACGTTTATTTACTTAAAAGAAAAAGAAAAGTCGACCAGGATTGTCAAGAAGATCATAGGCTGGCAGACACGCATGCGGCTTCTGGAGAATCCAGACTGACAGCACAGGAGCGCAGGGGTGGCAGGGAAGAAATCATCAAATGAGGGGTCAAACCCTGTCCCATCCAACGGTTCTTTCTCCGTCCGTACACCACCACGAGTAGAGAAGACTGTAAATACTGGTGGAAAAAGTCATGGTTGGTGGACCCACCCCCGAACGTGCTGGTGCTGCTGGCTGTTACTCCTCCGTGCCTTGTCTTGGAAACGAGTTTCACACGCGCCGGCTCACACTTCTTGTGTGCCATGCCACCCAGGCTTACCATCTCCCCGCTTAACAATAATAATAACAATAATCCACGAAAATAATTACTCTTCTTCTTCTGGACTTATCACTTGACTGCCCTACTAAATTCGCTGCCTCTCAGAAACATATAATATTTCTGTTTCAAATTAGAATGTGTGTTCACACAACTAACTCATGTTTGGTGAAAGAACTTGCAACGTGAGCTTTGGCGCACTATTGGAAACTACCATTTTCTACTCCCACTATATCGTAACAATAATAATAATTCATAAATAAAAGGCTCATATCCATATTTTACCGCCACAGTTATTTGCACGGACGGAATTTACATGACTTTGATTTGAAAACACGGACCGCGAGACAAAAGACTGTCCATGAAAAAACTCATTTTCTAAGTTTATCTCAAAAAACCGCCTAATGCACCTTAAAAAACTCACAAAAATGCCCCCATTTGGAAGCAAAACGTCCAAGAAAGCATAAAGCCGCCCACCCTCCCCTCTCCCACTCCAACCATCTCCCCTTCCCCTTCTCTTCTCGCGCAGCCAAACGTCTCCGCCTCCTCTCCTCCCCCTCGCCGCCGCGCTCGCCAGGCAGCCACCCCTATTAATTCTCCTCCTCCTCTTCCACGTCCACCACTCCGCACGCTTGGACGCACAAGCTTCTCCTCCTCCTTCGACGTCGTGCGGTTCGCTTCGCCTACTTCCTGCCGTTCCTGTCTGTGCCGAGACATGCGAGGCAGAGCCGAGTCAGAGGAGAGCACCAGAGCAGGGCAGCCAGCATCCAGCACCCAGCGGCGGCCAAGGAAGGAAAGAAGAGCCGGCGCCATGTCCGTGCGAGTGGCGTCCGTGCCGGCGGCGACTAGGGCCGCGGGCGCCGTGGCGCCGTGGCCGTACCTGGAGCACATGGCGCGGTGGGAGCGGCAGGTGGAGCGTCGTCAGCTGTTCCTCCGGAGCTACCACTTCTCCCGCGACGCCGAGTCCCCGCGGTCCCCGCGCGCGCGAGCCAGACGCGTCGTCTGGGCGGGGCTCCGCCGCCTGCGCCGCGCCGCGGCCACGGGCCTCCGCCGCCTCCGCGCGCGCCTCCGTCTCTGCTTCGGCTGGGCCACACGCCGCCGCGGCTCCTCCTCCTTGCCACGCCGCTCCGCCACCGGCGGCCATCGCTACGGCCGCCTCTCCGGCGCCGGCAAGGCCCGCGCCGCCGCCGAGTCCGTCTTCTTCTGGTAGCGCGCCCGCCCTGCGCTGGCGCCGCTGCCGATGCAGAGCACTCAACACTGCACAGAGCACAGGCGTGCGTGCGAACTCGAAGCATCCTTTGCTTCGTCTCCTTGGTTGGCGTGTGTGAAACGGAGATGAGCTTACTTAGACAAGAATTAGCTGGTGCATGTTAACTTCTACTGCTGTTCTGTGGAGTGCTTGCTTAAACTAGCGGTATTACTTCCTAATTAGTGAGGACAAAGAGTGTTAATTAATTATTAGTGGGGGTTATTAAGGGTATTTTTTCCTTTCATTTTTCATAGCAACTCGCTCCTTGTCTTGTCTGAATATATTCTCCTGCTTTTCTGTATCTGTCTGTGCTCTGTTCTTGGTTCCCCTGTTCTCCTTGCCTTGCAAATTGCAATTGCGCATGGAGATTACAGTGTCAGTGAGGTGTTTTATGTTGTGTGTGTGGCCCTTGTAAGGTACTCATACGAGGCATGTGGATGGGATGGCACCAAACAAAAGCAAATCCACCGCACTATAATATAAATACAAAATGTGAAATCTTTGGGGGCCGCTAGCGCTAAATGGATAGATTCTTCAATCATGCAGGCAGGATGAGAGTATGAGCAGAACGATGTCCTCTTTGCAGTTGCAGGGAGACTGCCAAGAAAGAAAAGTCCAAGCACTGAAACCCTCCATTTTATCAGGTCTAAAAAGCAGGGCCGTGTTTAGTTGGAGGCCGATTCGGCGCCGTCGGATTCGGCGATACTGTTCATGCACTGTAGCGTTTTGTTTTTATTTGGTAATAATTGTCCAATCGTTGACTAATTAGGCTCAAAACGTTCGTCTCGTAGAGTACAACCAAACTGTGCAATTAGTTTTTGATTTCGTCAACATTTAGTACTCCGTGCATGTACCACAAGTTTAATGTGACAGGGAATCTTCTTTTTGCGTAGTGCCAAATTCTGGAAAATGGGGAACTAAACATGGCCTAGGTGGTTTTGATCTCCGAAGCAGGTGTCCACGTTTCGTGTCCAGCTTTATCTCAAGCGCGTGTCGCGGTCAAAAGACAGCGGCCAGCGGCAGGGTTTTGCAGCTCAGTTTTGCTGTCTTCCTTGCGAGGCAGCGAGGGCGATGGCCAATGCAGCAGCTGCTTTCTCACCCCTTTGGCTTTGCTTTCTTTCCCACGTCAGCTTCTCCCTTCCAAGAATTAACAAAGCGGATTCCGTGTCAGATTGGGAACTCACCCCCCATATCTGCCCTCTTGAATTTGCCTGCCCTGCCACTGCCAGGACCCGCACCAGCAGCAAGCATTGATCTGATCTCAAAGAAACAGGCAAATTTTGTCGAGAAAACAGCAGGCGAAAACTGAACCTTTGCCAGCCATTTGTTGACTGACTGACCGGCAAAAACAGGTCCAAAATGACAGTTTTTGCTTGCAACCGCTCGTCAACCGAGAAATGAAGGTGGATCAGGACACATGTCTGCTCTGCAGACGTCCGTCCGATCCCCCCTGCATGTAGTGAGTCGTGAGCGAGGAACTTCATTCGTCGGCACGATGAGTATCTTCAGTACAGGTCTCAAGGAAGAGCAGATCGTCCGGTGCCATCTTAAAACCGTCTTTATGGTTTTGTATAATACATACATGCAGTGGTACCGTAGCGGGAAATGGATAATGGGGTCTTGTATTGTACTCCTGTCCATCTGGTAGCTTCCCTGCCCCCCCCCCCCCCCCCCCCCCCCAATGCCCACAACCACCCACATCATGGTACAAATTCTTCTTATCAAGTGCTTTCATTTTATATTTGTCTAACCCTGCACTGCATCTAGTGTGCTAGTAGTGCTTAGTTACTCTCACTGATGATCACAACTGACCGCCATGATTGCGCTGGTCCATACCTCGGATTATATAATAATAGCAATAAAAGAGAGCAGACGCTGGATCAATCGAGGTGGATTTGTGCAGTGCTAATTGAAGCCGTAGCCGTGGGCTCGTCACTGCAGCGTCCCCACCATGGGGTCTAGTTCTGTTCTTGCATGGGTTTCCAATTGAGTTTGTTTGGCTTATTTTTTCAGCAACGAATAATATTTTTCTCATATCAAATCAGCCAACATTACTTTCAGTCATGATTTATTAGCCAAACAAACCCAAACGACTGGGATGAGTGACTCGATGGTTTGTTTGCTCCTGGAGGGAATGCGATGCCACCATGGTCCAGAAGATCTGGTCGAGAGGCTTCGACGTTGATATCTCTTCTCCTGCCGTGCTCAGTTTCTCACTTTCTTCTCTGGACGGGATGTGTCTCGTACCGTCTGTGATTGATTTGAAACGGTGACAAGACTGTATGAGATCTAGTATTGCGTGATGAATGATGATAAAGTAGCAGCAGTCTAGAAGCGCTCAGCTCAGAAGATACTCCGTACGTGCCAAAGGCCAAAGCAGTGAGTGAGGTTTGGAGTTTGGAGAGCCAAACCGAGACAACATTCGAATCCGACAGGTAAGCTACTGGCTTCAAAAGGGCGTCGGTTTTGAAACGGTGAATGCGCTAGCTACAGATAAAATATATACCTCCTCGCTTTTGTGATATGCAAATGAGTAGAGAGTCTGTTTGCGGCTTACTTTTGGGTGAGCTACTGCTGTAAGAGAACGAGGATGTAAGTGTACTGTTGCTGTTGGAGCGTAGAAGTAGAAGCAGCACATGTGCAAAAATTAGTTGGCCTTGGAAGAGCAACTGAACGAGCGTGTTGAAGATAGCTATACTCCCTCCGTACTCGTATAAGAGGTCGTTCTGAGCGAGCCGCTCGTTTTCGCAAAGGAAGTCGCCCAGGCTGCATGGGGCTCCAGATGGACGCGTTAGCCCCTGACGCTTTGTTCCTGCACGCCCGTCGCCAGCATGGCTCGACAATGAATTAATCACGGCTCTTCGTTTTGTGCACGCTCGCTCGTGTCAAGGCTCTTCATCATGCGCACGCTCGCCTCCCGCAGCACGCGCTCGCCGCTAGTTCGTCTCCCGCAGCACACGCTCGCCGCCGGCGCCATGAAGCTCGCTCGCGCCATGGAGGAGGCGCTGGACTCCGTCGAGGCCCTGGACTCCGTCAAGACGCTGGACACCGTCGAGCAGGCGCTGGACAACGTTGAGGTGATGGACTCCGTCGAGCAGATGTTGGACAACGTCGAGCCGCTGGACACCGACGAGGCAGTGGACTCCGTGGAGTCGCTGGACTCCGTCGAGGCGCTGGACACCGTTGACATCGTGCCGGACTCCGTCGAGATGGTGCCCGACTCCGTCGAGTCCTTGTGTCCTTGCTGCGGCACATTCCACGCTGGCGACGTCTTCGGAGAAGCCTGCTTCCAAGCTCGCCGCCACACTCGCAGGTGTGCGCGTTGTGGCCTTTTACATGAAGACTACGATATGCCAGCAAGGTGGTTGCATGGCATGGAAAAGTTTGATTGTGAGTTCTATGTTACTGATGTGGAGAAACTTCAAATGGATGGTGACACAATACTGCTATCTGACGACGTTATCAAGAAGTTGGACGAGATCTATAATATGAAGAAGTTGGAAGATGCAAAGATGGTTTAATGCTACTAGAGTGACGTCTAAGCAAACCTTTTTTCAAATACCTTTGTATCCTAACTTTGCTCGTACCAAGTTTACTAGACACATCTTCTATGGTCATTCTTTGCTTGAGAGGAATGTTGCATAGTAGTTCCAAATCAAGAGGGACTAACTTGCGGCCACATCTACCCTTCTTTTTACTTGCAACCACAACCGGAATGTTTTGAGCAAGTTGGTGAACACCTCGCTTCCATAGGCGCTGAACTGATCGAATGTGCAGTCCAAATTGGTCAGCAACAATTCTTGTATCCTTTTTGGCTAGTTTCCCATTCTTGCTTCTAGCCAACAATGCTTGATAAACTTATTTTCTAACGTCTTCTGTCATTTCTTTTCTTCGATGGTTTGCTTCAATGGGAGCAGCATGTTCTAGTAAAAGAAAAAAAAGAATCACTTGTTAGCCACGGCTTACATTAAAAATAATCAAAAAATTAAAAGAACAAACGGAGAAGAAATTACCAGCCACTGCACCAAATTCATCTAGCGGCAGGTTCAAATCAAATCCTGTCAAAATAAGAAGCAATGATATGAGAAACGATTGAGAGAAAGGGATAGCACAGTACATGCACAAGAGAAGAAGTAATACCATTGCCATGCTCCAACGGAGGGTCATTGAGATCAAACGCAGCGTCGCCGTCGTCATCTTCAGGCTCGTGCAGAGCAAGTGTGGCCGTCGTCATCTTCAGGCTCGTGTAGAGCAAAGCCAGCGTCGCCGTCGTCATCTTTAGGGTCGTTGAGATCAAACTCAACATGGTCGTCGTCGTCTTCGGATACAGGCTTGTTAAGATCCAACATAGGAAATGAATCGGCCATGTGTAGCTAGACTAGAGAAGATGGCTCAGTACATGAACAAGAGAAGAAGTGGCGTGGAGAAGAGACAAAGCAAGTTGGCACAGTAAATAAGCACTCAGGTGACCCAAACGTCGGTCATGCAGCCATCCACCACCCACCAGCCATCCAAACGAGCGCGCAGGCAAAAACGCGCCATGGTACGAGCGCCACGACAAATAATTTGGAAAACGAGCGCCATGCAGGCTCCCCTGCGCGCCGCCATGCAGTCCAGGCCGAAAAAATCGAATCTGAGCGCGCGCCATGCATGGCAAAAACAGTGCCATGCAAAATGAAGACGACAGCAAAAAAGTGCGGTGGCCAGGAGTCGAACTCGGCTGGCCAGAGCCAAGCCTCGATGCGCTAGCCATATGAGTTGGGAAGTTTTCTCATATAGAATGCACCCGCAGCCCTATTTAATAGGGGCAGACAGGAAAAAATACCCCCTAATTAATTACTCCTTGGTATGCACAATCATGTTCTAAACGACCTCTAATACGAGTACAGAGGAAGTATATATTTGGAAACTTCTAAAAAGATCTTAAGATTATAAGGGAGAAGATAATTGTCATGCGAAAT